TAGCTGCACATCCTTCTAGTTGCTGTATGTGGGACTCGGCCTCAGGATGAACGGAGAAGCAGTGCCTCGATGTGCACCCGGGATCCGAACCCGGGCCACCAGCATCGCAGCGTGCGCACTTAGCCACCAAGCCACAGGGCCGGCCCTGCCTAGAAGAATTTAAGAAAGTCTGATCCAGGGAGGAACTATTACCGTAGATAACTATAGTGTACTATGAACCAGATGTGGTAGACAGGGAGGAAACTAGGGAGGCCCATTTAATCAAAGTCCTTCCCATGTCTCATTGTCTTGGCAAGGCATGACAAACATTTCTTCACCAAACATTTGTTTTTCCATCTCCATGTGAATTGTTGTCCTCCCCTTTGAAGTCCCAAGCCACTAACCCCAACATCCTCTTTTGTCTTTGCCTGAAGATGGTCTTTAAGTTGGTGGCTTTGACCATTTTGGCAAGTTACTCAGTTTTCCTGGGTTTCTCCCATGTGTACATGTTATTAAACTTTGTTTGATTTTCTCCTGTTATTTTGCCATATTATATCATATCATATTAACTTAATTCTTAGACCAGCCAGAAGAACTTAGAAGGGTGAAGGGAAAATTGCTTCCCCACCTACAACTGGCTATCTTCTTTCTTTCTTTCTTTCTTTCTTTTTTGGTAAGGAAGATTCACCCTGAGCTAACATCCATTACCAATCCTCCTCTTTTTTTTTTTTTTCTTGCTTGAGGAGGATTAGCTCTGAGCTAACATCTGCGCCAATCTTCCTCTATTTTGTATGTGGGACACTTCTACAGCATGGCTGATGAGTGGAGTAGGCCCATCCCTGGGATCTGAACCCACCAACCCAGGCTGCCAAAGCAGAGCGTGTGGAACTTTAACCATTCAGCCACGGGGTCAGCCCCTGTCTTCTTTTAAATATAATGTGTATCCATATATGCATATTATATATGTACACGATACATATATTAATTTTTAAACAAAAATGGCATCTATAGCTTGCTATTTTCCATAATATATCATGTATATCACTACTTGTCAATATGTATAGATTTACTTCATCTTTTCTAGCTACTCTTTTGTGTTTCATTGTTGATGTATCAACATTTATTCCACAAATCCCTAATTTATGGAAATTTTGGTTATTTTCAATTTTCTGCTATTATAAATGATGTTGTAATGCAGATTCTTGCACATACATCTTTGAATATTTGTCTGATTGTTTCCTTAAGGTAATTTCCTAGAAGTGAAATTGCTGGATTAAGGGTATGACTTTATTTTTTTCTGTCTATCAACACTTATTTATTTATTTTTATTTATTTATTTATTTTTATTTGTTTATTTATTTTTTCGTGAGGAAGATCAGCCCTGAGCTAACATCCATGCCAATCCTCCTCTTTTTGCTGAGGAAGACTGGCCCTGAGCTAACATCAATGCCCATCTTCCTCTACTTTATGTGGGACGCCACCACAGCATGGCCTGACAAACGGTGTGTAGGTGCGCGCTCGGGATCAGAACCCGGGCCGCCAGCAGCAGAGCATGCACACTTAACCACTACCCCATGGGGCCGGCCCCCAACATTTGTTTATTTATTGCTGCATATTGCCAGATTTCTCTCCAAAAAGATTTAATCAATTCACATACTTATTATATCACGAGCTCAGAGCAGAAAATAACTTGTCCAATCTGAAGTTCAAGAGAGACTTCTCAGAGGAGTTGGCCCTGGGGCTGTTTCATGATGTGACTGAGTCATCAAAAGAGCAGATAAATAATCTACAGCGAGCCAGGATCTGGGCGGGCTCAGGGCTGGATTCTCCCACTGCCTTGGCTTGTTTGTATGCGCCCTCTCCAACACTAGGCGTCATCGACATACTTAATCTCTGCCAAATAGAATTACTCTGCTTTTTTTTAAAACTTGTATTTTTTTAATCTGTTGGAACAATTTGTTAAGTCATTTCCTGGTCTAGAGGAAACAGAAACAATGGCTGCCAAGAGTGTTTTCTCAGAGATCATAGAAAAAGGCAGGAAAAAGTTACTTGAAATCCTCCAACAAGAGCCTGATTCCATCTTAGACACATTAACCTCTCGGAGGCTGATTTCTGAGGAAGAGTATGAGACGCTGGAAGATATTACAGATCCCTTGAAGAAAAGTCGGAAGCTGTTAATTTTGGTGCAGAAAAAGGGAGAGGTGAGCTGTCAGCATTTTCTCAAGTGTTTGTTTAGCGCTTTTCCAGAGTCAGCTAACATTAGGGGCTTAAGGCACGGTAAGTTGAATTTCTACACATTTTTGGGGTAAGAGGGACAAGGCAGATTTCCTGAAAAAAGAAAATTATTGCCTTTTGTTTTCATTTGTCTTTCTCCTGGAGATAATTTTCACTGAAATATGATAAAGGAGAAAAGTGTGCATAATTTAAAAAGCAGGGAACAGTAAATCTCATTGGTTTAGAGGATTGATAATTTTTTGTTCAAACTGTATCCAAAACTTGCCGTTGTTTTAGTGCTTGTATAAACTACTCATTGTTCTAGTAGTGACATCCCGAAATAGTCATGGTTGGAAAGAGAATACTGTTATTGATGACGCATCTGGCATTTCTTTATCAAGTAAGTGAATTGACAGTGTCGGGGGAAGAGGAAGAATCTCCCTCTGCCCTTTTCCTTAAGATTCTTATGGCTGGCCAAATAATTTACAAGACAGGTTAGCAGGAGAAAATAATACCAAGTTTAATAAGACGCATACATGGGAGAAAGCAGGGACACTGCGTTTCTCAACACAATAGCAGAAAGTCTCGTCTTAAATACCATGTTCAGCCAACGACAAAGGAGGATGTTGGGGGTGGGGGGAGTCAGTTACAGGAGATTACCACTAAAGCACAGTAAACAAGAGTAAGGTTATTATGCAGATTTAAGGCCTCACCTTTCACATTGATAAGCCCCTAGAGATGAGGCCATGCCCCCCTCTTCCCAAAACAGAGAGGGAGATACCTTTACAAATGGAGATTTGCCTTATAAATGTAAATGATTGTCTGGCAACTCCTCGAAGGGCCATCCGGAGAATGTGGCCAGAGAGAACTTCCGATAAAATGGGCTTGTTGGTGCCTTTTCTATTGTAACATTTATCCTACATTATCTTTACAGCCATCATGATAGATCTGTTCCAGGAAGGAGCCACCATGTCAAATTCTTTAGGCAGTTAGTGGCGGAGGTCAAATGTCCTCAGAGAAAACAACCAAGGTAAAGAGATAGATTTCAGAGTGGCCAAATCTTGATCTCCGACAACGGATATTAACAACCCCAAAACCAAAAACTGCATCTTTCACTTAGTATAGCCATTTTGAAAATACAGGAAAAATAATTTTTAGTATATATATAGGGCAGATCAGTAACTTCATTCTCTCTGTAATGAGAATGCCAGCAGAACTCTGGTTTTCTGCAGCAATTCAAATGCTGAGACTTCAATGTTCAAAGATAACTAGTGGCAGATGAGGGAGTAATTTTTCCAGAATAGGTTGTTTAGCAAATCTGCAGATTACCACTAGAGGCAGGTGTAGCTCTTTTTCTAGGAATCTAAAGAATATTGAAGATTATTTTAGCAGATATTAGAGGAGTAGAGGCTCAGATAAAAAGGTTAGTGTTAATGGTCTTGTCGGGGGAAGAGGGAGAATCTCCCTTCGCCCTTTTCCTTAAGGTTCTTATGGCTGGCCAAATAATTAACAAGACAGGTTAGCAGGAGAAAATAATACGAAGTTTAATAACATGTATACATGCGAGAAACTCAGAAATGAGCAACTCGTCCCTCTGTCTAAGCTGCTTGCTTAAGTATTGCAGCTAAAGGCGAGGAGCGTGTTGGGGGTGGGTAGTGGCCTGGGACTTCAGAGGGCAGGAGGACAATTCTTTTTGGGGTCATCTATAGATAATGTGGTCAGGGAGAGACAGAGTTTTTTGATAAAAGAGGCTTGGTGCCTTTGCTATTGTAACCTCTATCCTACATTATCTTTACAGCCATCATGATAGAAGATCTGTTCCAGGAAGGAGCCACCATGTCAAATTCTTTAGGCAGTTAGTGGGGGAGGTCAAATGTCCCTCAGAGAAAACAATCAAGGTAAAGAGAGATATTTCAGGGTGGCCAAATCTTGATCTCCCACAGTCTCTAATGTAGGACAAGGTGTGCATGTTTAAAGAAATAGGTCTTATTATTTGTAGGCCTTACAATTCCAAATCAGAGCTGTTTGCTTCCTGATTAGAAATTATTAGGGTTGGGCCGGCCCCATGGCTTAGCAGTTAAGTGCACGCGCTCCGCTGCTGGTGGCCCGGGTTCAGATCCCAGGCGCGCACCAATGCACCGCTTCTCCGGCCATGCTGAGGCAGCGTCCCACATACAGCTATGCCATACAACTATCTACTGGGGCTTTGGGGGGAAAATAAATAAATAAATAAATAAATAAAATTACAAAGAAATTATTAGGATCAGATTTTATTAGCAACGGCCCTAGGAAGTCTCAGCTAGTTTTGGGTCACAATAAATCCACAAATAAGCACTGTCCATAGGATTCATATTTTCTGTTTCACTGATTTAACCTTTATGTTTGCTCTGAGATACTCAAAATTTTGAGCAAGGCAGGAGTGTGATCTGATTTTTTTCCAGTGGGAGAAAGTTCTGACAGATGACTTGTTGCCATTTATGTAGGAGGCGGTAGGCGTTTTATCCTTCAGTGAAATAAAGAGGAGAGATGATGCTTTGAGGCCTTGGAAATTCAAGTTGTTATAAAATTTCCTTTTGTTTATTTGGAAAAACAAAACAAAAATCTCCAAAACTTTCTTGTTCTTTTCAGAATATTTACAACATAATACAGAACCTCCTCAATCTATGAAGGTAATCAAGAATTCAGATGTTTCTTTTCTTGGAGAGAAACAGCCTGAGAATCCTGAGATCATAGTTCCCGTCAGAGAGAAAGAACACTGGGATTTGGAAACCTCTGAGTCTTTCAGTGACAACAAAACTAGTTATAGGGAAACCGCTTGGTCCTCAAGGGAAAATGGGAAGGAATACAACACACCAAAAGTCACATTGCCATATTCTGTCGAGAATGATGAATATGAATTTCCAGCGACTATTGAGTGTTTACAGGACGGACAGAGGTATGAGGAGCCAGATGATTCTTTATACCTAGGAGAAGAGGAATATCTAGAATCTGTTGGATACCCTGAAGATGCAGAAATCACTGTGGAAGAGGAGGATTATGATGACCCAGAGTACACCGTCTATGGTGGCGAAGAGGACTCTGCATGTTCAGAAACCACGGAGTTCTCCGATGAAGAACAGGGTTATGAGGATTCAGAAACCGGCATGTCATTGGAGAAGGAAGAGGAGAAAAGTATGGAAGGTGGGAGAATGATGTGTGTATAGTTATGCAACAACTTATTTTTAGTTTGCCATGATGTAATGGGAAGAGGGGATGAAGAAGGGCACCATATGTCAGCAGAAAAGCAGCTATTCAAATTCCTTCTCTAATCTGGAATTTCCTCAGTGGTGGGTGTTGACAGAGAAGAGGACTCAGGACCTAGGAAATGGTGGACAGTATAAGAAAAGTAAATAGTAGTTGTCAGATTGTAGGTTTCTGCAGTCACTTCTATCATACATATAAGAAGTTACTAACCACTAATTTAGGTGTTACCTTCTATTCCTCAGATTAAGCCTCTTTAGTCATTTTAGAGCCTTCATGACCAATGCGATATGAGGATTATGGGCCTAACTATTGAAGGAGAGGAGAGGAGTTTGTGGTGAATGGATAAAATCCCCAAATATTGTTATTTGGCTTGATCCAGTCCATATATTGCCATCTTGATGAGGGAAATTGTATCAGTATCTTGAATTTGAATATTTCTTAATGAAAATTCAAAATACGAGAAATGCTTCATTTGGAGAGATATTGTCTCTCCAAAGAAACATCACCAAGTTCTGAGTAGACAATGGAAAGGTAACTACCATCTCACCTTCAGTCCAAATCCTGGGGATTCATATCTAGTTCTGGGTAGGAAAAGAGTGATTTCCTCCTTAGCACATCTTGTATTAGTTTGCTAGGGCTGCTGTAGCAAAGTACCACAAACTGGGTAGCTTAAACAATAAACAACAGAAATGTATTTTCTTAGTTTGAAGGCTAGAAGTCTGAAATCAAGGTATCTACAGGGTTGGTTCCTTCTGAAGGCTGTAAAGAAGAATTTGTTTCAACTTCTGGTGGTTTGCTGGAAATCTCTGGCATTCTTTGGCTTGTAGAAGCATCCCCCGGATCTGCCTTCATTTTCATGTGGTTGTCTCCGGGTGCTTGTCTCTATGTCCAAATTTCCCCTTTTTATAAGGACACCAGTCATATTGGATTAGAGTTCCTCCTAATGACCTCATCTTAACTAATTACATCTGTAATGACTCTATTTCCAAATAACTTTACATTCTGAGGTATTGGGGGTTAGTATTTCAAGATATGAATTTGAGGGGTACATAATGCAACCCATAACACAATTCTTGCCACACCCCCATACCTTCCCAATACATAGTTGCTTTTAGGGCTCATTCTTACTTTTTATTTATTTATATATTTCAGTTGTTGCATAAGGTTGAATTAATTAATTATTCATTACATAATATCATCATTATTCTGCAAAAAGCCTCTTTTGTTTATCTATTCCATTTTTTCTTTATTCCCATTCCCATTCACCTTCCTCCATAGGTAACATTCTAATATTATAATGTGTTTATTGCATGTTATTGTTTTGTTTACATGATTTTTTTTTCTGTATTATTTTTTGCTGCAATATTGCTACATAATAAAGCATTTCATAATTAGGGTCACTTAAAACAATGAGAATGAATTATTGTTCATGTGTCTGTAGTTGGCTGGGCAGTTTTTCTGGTCTCCCCCCGGGTTTACTCTTGTATTTATCATCAGCTGGCTATAGGCTCATCTCTCTTCTTCTAGTAGGCTAGCCTGGTCTTGTTCTCAGACTACATGGGGCATATTCTTATGGTGAGGGGAGAGATGTAAAAGAGAGAGAAGGAGACAGAGAGAGAGAGAAGGCACAAAAGAGAAAGAGAGAGACAGAGTAGTGAAGCCCTTTTGAGGCTTAAGCTCAGAACTATCATGCTGTCTGTATTAGTTTCCTGGGGCTGCCACAATAAAGTACTACAAAAGGGTGGTTTAGAACAACTGGAGATGTATTGTCTCCCGATTATGGAGGCCAGAAGTCTAAAACCAAGGTGTTAGCAGGGTCATGCGCTCTCTGGGCATTAGGGAAGGCTCTGTTCCAGCCCCCTCTCCTAGCTTCTGGTAGCCTCAGGTGTTCCTTGGCTTGTAGATGACCATCTTCTCTCTGAGTCTTCAAATCATTTTCCCTTTTTATAAGAATACCAGTCAGATTGGATTAAGGTCCACCCTAATGAACTCATTTTAACTTAATGACCTCTGCAAAGACCTTATTTACAAATAAGGCCACATTCTGAGGTACTGGAGACTTCAATATATCTTTTTTGGGGGAGACACAATTCAATCCATAACACCATCACTTCTTCCACATTCTCTTGGCCAAAGCAAGTCACAAGCCAATGTGGATTCAAGAGTTGGGGAAAAATAGACTCCACTTCTTACAAAGTAATATTGAAAAAGATACGGATACCAGAAAGCCATTAATTGGGGATATTTTTGCAATCAATCTAACACCTTTAGAAAAACAGGTCAAGAAAAGTATCAGTAATAGTGTACTTATGACCTGCAATGTAAGCCTCATGGCTACCGTCCACTCTAGTTGACTGGAGGCATGTGGCTATCCTCCTTCTCTTTCCTCTGTAATATTTGTCTATCCAGCTGGGAACTTAAAAAAAAAAATCCAAATGCATCTGACTGAAAGGAGAAGGATCTTCATGCTTTTTGTCATATTGAATTCCATGCCAAAAAAAAAATCTCAGTGTCAAATCAAAGTCTCAGGAATGCTTAAGGCATTGCCTTGTGTGTTCTGCACTGTATAAGGTCAACTTGTACACAGACTATATCAATCAATTCCCTTCTGTTCCAGCTTATAGTTGAGGTCAGCCAATGGTAGGAACCCATATATTTACCATTTCCTGTGCCCCTCCTTTCTTCCTGAAGATTCAAGTTTTAATTTAATGTTGCTTCCCTTTAGCCTGAAGAATTTTATTCATTATTTCTTTTAGTGCAGGTCTGCTGCTGATAAATTTTCTTAGCTTTTGTTTATTGAAAAATGTCTTTATTGTTTCTTCATTCCAGGATATTTTTGCTGGGTATAGAATTGTAGATTGGCAATTTTTTGCCTTCAGCACTTTATGGATGTCATTCTTCTGTCTTTTGGCTTCCATCGTTTCTTCAGTCTTTAGTCACTTTATCATTGTTCCCCTGAAAGTGTTGTGTCATTTTTCTTCTGGTTGATTTTGAGATTTTTTCTTAAAATTTTTTCAGCAGTTGACTCTGATGTGTCTAGGTGTGTTCTTCTTTGTTTTCATCTTCCTTAGGTTTGCAGAGTTTGTGAAACTAAAACTTTTTTTTTTTTTACCAAATTTGGAAGATTTTCAGCTGTTATTTATCCAAATATTTTTTGTTTCACTTGCTTCCTTCTTTTGTTTTGAGACTCCAAGTATGCGCATGTTAGAGTTTTTTATATTGTTCTATAGGTTCCTGAGTCTCTGTTCATTTTTTTAAAAATATTTTTTCTCTCTATTCTTTAGATTGGATCATTTCTATTGCTATATCTTTAAGTATACTGAATTTTTCTTCTGTCATTTCCAATCTGCTTTTAAGTCCATCTACTGATGGACTTTTTAAAAAGTTCAGATATTATGATTTTTAATTTTAGAATTTCCATTTTTTTAATACTTTCTATTTTTTCCTGAGAATTCCTATTTTATCTTTCGTTATGGGATTATTTTATTTTACATTCTTGAGAACAGTTACGATAGCTGCTTTAAAATTCTTATATGCTAAATTCAACATCTTGGTCATCTTAAAGTCAGTCTCCATTGACTGAGCATGGGTTACCTTTCCTGTTTTTTCTGTGTCTATTAACTTTGGATTGTGTCCTAAACATTGCATATGATTGGTTGTAGAGACTCTGGATTGTTAAATTTCCCCAAACAATCTTGTTTTTTATGGTCTGTTTTAGTTCCCAGTTAACCTGACTGGACTCAAATGCAAAATTCAGTCTCCTTTCAGTGGGTTGCAGCTGAAATCTCTGATCATTTCTTTTTGCCTTAGCTGAGCTATTTTTCATGAATTTTTAATTTACAAAAATGGTATGGGGTTCTAGAAATTATTGTTTCTTACTTTCTTCATCCAGGTCTGTGCTTATTAAATATATCATTGCTGTGTATACATGTACAGTCATGTGCTGCATAATGAAGTTTTGGTCCATGATGGACTGCACATATGGCAGTGGTCCCATAAGATCAGTGCCATATAGTCTAGGTGTATAGTAGGCTACACCATCTAGGTTTGTGGAAGTACACTCTGTGATGTTTGCACAACCACAAAATTGCCTGACACATTTCTCAGAACATATCTCCGTCAAGTGACACGACTGTACTCTGTTGCTTCTAACCACTCCACGGTAGCCTTGTTATTACCCTGTCAATGCTAGACTTCTGGCCTGGGCTGTGTAAGTACTGATTTCACTGCTGAAGAAGCAGAGAATTGTTGTCCTAAGACAAAGTAGAGGATAGGCAAGAGCAGAACTTAAAAGCTTTCCTGTAATCTGTCCTCTCACTGCCTCCTCTGGGAACCCTTCGTGGTAGCCTCAACTCCTCCCTCACCTTCTTACCCCAACACATATATGAGTTCAAGCAACTTTCAAACTAACCAAGGATTTCTTAGAGTTACTTTTGTTAATTCTTGATATCCATACTTTTCTCTCACTTTCATTGTTTCTTGTAGGCTATTTTTACAGGGGATCCAAGAAGCTTATGCTAACTTGCTATCCATCAGGAGCAGAAAATGCTCTCTGATCTTCTTCTGTACTAGGCACTATCTCTGTATTCCCAAGAAGTGGTTAGGAGATATATTAGAAAATAGGAAATCAGAAGAAATTAGGTACAACATGTAAATTCTGAGAAAACTTTAATGGAAATAAAATCTTCGGGCCGGCCCCGTGGCTTGGTGGTTAAGTGCACGCACTCCGATGCTGGTGGCCCGGGTTCGGAGCCTGGGCGCACACCGAGGCACCACTTCTGCGTCCATCCTGAGGCCGAGTCCCACATACAGCAACTAGAAGGATGTGCAGCTATGGCATACAACTGTCTACTGGGGCTTTGGGGGGAAAAAATAAATAAATAAAATCTTAAAAAAAAAAAAAAAAAAAGAAATAAAATCTTCCATTTCTCCAAACTTTAGCAAGAGATACATTTAAGAAAGAAATCAGTATTAACCTAGAGAATTCTTCATGCATCTGTATAATGAAGAATTAGCAAGGTTTTTCATTACTGCATACAAACATTAGCCAAAAAATTGGAAAACTTAAATCATCATCAGTAGACAATGGTTAAATCAATAATGGTCTATCCAAACCATGAAATATGATGGATTAGCTACAATGAATTAAGTAGAGCTGTATGCATACATAGTGACATGGAAGAATTTGCAAGGAATACTATTAAGTGAAAAGAAGTTGAAGAATCATTTGTTTAGTATAATTTCATTTATGTAAAAATAAAATAGCATCCAGTAAGCCAAACTATACATTTCTATATATGCATGCATACTTATGTGCTTACATAGAAAAAGGACAGGAAGGAAACATACCATACCACATTGACATATCTCTTAGAAGGAAAGCGGAATTGGCAGAGCAGGAAAAGGAAACTTTCGCTTCATTTGTATTGTTTCATCTTTTTGCAATGAAAATGTCAATTACTTATTTAATTTTAAAAGTCAGGAAGGAAGCTTAGATGCTGAACGTGACAGTCACTGAGTATCTTTTTTTCCCACAGAAAGAAGAAAGGTGTTTAAAGATGTCCTGTTGTGTTTGAACATGGATAGAAGCAGAAAGCTTCTGCCAGATTTTGTTAAACAATTCTCGTTAGATCGAGGGTGTAGGTGGACACCTAAGACTCCAGCAGACTTAGCCTGGAATTTCCTGATGAAAGTTCAAGCAATGGATGTGACAGCCAGAGATTCAGTCCTCGGACATAAGGTTCTGGGTGAGGATAGCAAAGGGGAATTGCTGACTGGAGTAGAGAATTTGGAAATTAGAGACTTACAAACCATTAATCCCCTTGATGTCCTTTGTGCCTCTATGCTGTGTTCAGACATCTCCTTGCAACGCGAAGTCATGTCAAGCATGTATCAATGCCGGTTTGCTCTTCCCTTGCTACTGCCAGATGTAGAAAACAGCAAAAGCATTTTAATGCTGGGGGCCATGAAGGACATTGTGAAGGAGCAGTCACCACAGTCTTCAGGAGGGCCTACGGGGGATGCAGAAAAGTTTCTGACTCTCACGAAGATGCCTGTCATCTCTTTTGTGCGTCTAGGATCCTGTAGCTTCTCCAAGTCCAGAATCCTCAACACACTGTTCAGCCCTGCCCAACTGAAGTCACACAAAATCTTTGTTCAAAAGGATTTGCCTGTTCTGGTGCTTCCCCGGCAAATCTCTGATGGCCTGGTTGAGATAACATGGTGTTTTCCTGATAGCAACAGCCTAAAGGAAAACCCTAGTTTTTTCCAAAAGCCTGTTGCTGTGGCCAACCTTCGTGGAGATCTACAAAGTTTTTGGACACAGTTTGGTTTCTTGATGGAAATTTCCTCAGCTATGTTTTTTTTCACTGATTGCCTAGGTGAGAAGGAATGGGACCTGCTAACATTTTTAGGAGAAGCTGCCATTGCAAAATGCTACTTTGTCCTCAGTCCCCGGGCCAGGGAGAGTGAAGAGGCTCAGATTTTCCAGAAGATCCTGCAGTTGAAGTCATCACAGCTACTGTTTTGGGAGGAGGAGGAAGCGGGGGAGAGACAGAACGTGGAGGCCCTTCAAGGTGCCCTCCAGGAAGTGATGTCGTCTTCACTCAGATATGTGTCTGTGGAGGACATGGCCTCCTTGGCCAGGGAGTTGGGGATCCAGGTAGACCAAGACTTTGAGAACGCTCAAGGAAGTCAAGTTTTCCATGGTGAAAACTTGGCTGCAACAGCTGAAGATGAGGGACAGCAAAGGTACGGTCAGCCAAAAAGCTCATCTGAACACCCAGCTGAGATGCCTATAAGAGAGCCTGGGGCTAGATGTGAGGTCAGCCAGAATCTTCAACTCACCCCAGTATTTGTACCTCATCTGGCAAACTACTTTCCTTTACCAAGCAGAATCAGAGGTAATTTTAACCATGTTTCTTTGAAAGCCCCCTGGGTTATGGGCTCCCACTTTGGGTCAGAGCAGAAGTCTAAGGGGTTCCCTCCTTCACCCTTTCAGAATACAAGGGCCTATAGTCAAGGTAAAAATTTTGGGATTCGATACTTACCACCCCAGAGATTTTATTCACATGAGAGGTTCATGAAATTTCCAAGAACTGCTCAGGGATGTCACATTGATGGAACAATTGGGAGACCACCAAGACCCATTTCTCAGCAAGTACAGGCCTGGCCTGAGAGACCACAGACAATGAGAGATCTTAAAGGGTTTAGGGCAGTGGTCTCCCAGGTAGGTCACCTCCATTCCCTGGGTTCACAGCCAGCAGGAACAGTTGGGAAGCCACAGCCTCGACAAGCCAGCGCGTGGGGAACACAGCTAACTGAAGCAATTGGAAAACTTCTGAGAACAACATCCCATATTGAAGATCCTCACCCTCAAGGGTTTCAACCAGCAGAAGCCATACAAAACCCCATAAGACCTGCCTCTCAGCAAGGAGCCAAAATAAAGACGCAAAGTGAGCCTTCAAATCCAGCTTTCCAAACAAGATCCCATCTCATGTCCAACAGCAAATATTTACCCCGCCCTCAGTTCAAATCCAATCAGCCCAAGCCATCCCAGGTCAAGCACTCCCAGCCCAAACCCTCCCAATCTGTGCCCTCTCAACCCAAACCCACTCAAACAAAACCCACTCAGCCCCAGCCCCCCCAAGCTAAACCCTCTCAAAAACCCACTCAACCCAAGCCATACCAGCCCCGGTCCTCCCAATCTAAGCCTTCTCAGCCAAGACCCACTCAACTCAAGTCATCTCAGACCAATCCTTCACAGGCTAAGGCATACCACCCAAGAGCAGGGCCCAAGAGGACAGGGAAGCATTAAAGTGCTTACTCCAGAGACCTATGAAATATATCCTTTACCCAGGCCATTCCTATCATAGAGTAACCATGAAGAACAGTGGCAGTGATGGTAAGGGACTACTGTCATTAGAACTACAGATAAAAGATACGTACAGCCTAATTGTATATCATTAAAATATCTGTAAGAATTGTATCCCTAACCAAGAGGAAAAACATAAAAAAGAATTAAGAATAGAATCAACCAGTAAATAAATGAATTGAATCCGACCTTAAGTATTAGATAATATACAACCTGAATTGAGGGAGTGGATGCTGTGAGACAACCCCAATTGGAGAAGAATGGGATTGGAGTCTCTAATTGCCAAGTGACCATAAATAGGGCTCAGGTTGTCCCAGTGTTGCAGGAAAAACTGCCCTAGATGTTGGCTGCTCCAGGGGTGCCTTGGTCGAAATTTTTTGGTTCAATATCAGCCAATAAGCAGATAAACCTGTTTATTTGGGATGTTTAAATCAATTTGCTTCTGAGAATGACGCCAATTTGTTTGGATGATAAAACTCTCATTTGACCCTTCCTGTATAGAAATCAAAGAAATTAATTATTTTGCATTAACTTTAGGTATGATCTGTGTATGTTTCATATTTAAAATATTTGTAATAGTTAAGATATTTGGCTTATTAGAGGATCTGATATATTAGCTTCATGATTCCAACTTGAAATGCGTAATTGAGTTTTTAATTTTAGAGTTGTGTTTTTTTTAAGTTGAAAAGATTAAGATAGGTTTATAAAGTTTGTGAAAAGCATTGAAATGTTTGAGAACATAGGATTTACAGAATTTATAATAATAATTTATTAGATTCATCTTTGTTCTAAACATTTGGATAAGTCCTGTAGTTAGATGCATTAAGTAAAAATAATATATTAAATTTAAAATATTTAAGTGAAGTTTAATTGTTTGTAAATGACACCAAATATTAATAAAAGGTCTCTTTAAAGGTAGATGTTAAAATTCACTAGATTTAGAAATAGAATAATAAGATTTGTAAATTGAACTAAAAGCCTTTTGAATTTGTTACTTTTGTAAAATTAATATTAATTTTAAGTACTAAAATAGCCCCCAGTAGTCTTTTCTGGGTAAAAAAAAATTGCCTTCAAGGACACAAAAAAAATCACATTGACAAATGGATGAGAACTGATCTTTGAAAAGGAATAATCAATCTCTGAGAACATTCTCATAGTACAACACGTATCTTTCATTTGTGCGTGTATTAAACAATCAACATTGAGTATTTACAGGGTATTCAATCTCTCTAAAGGTTATCGTAAATAAGAGTGAAGAAAGAAATAGAAGACCAAACGTGTCAATTTTATCTCTGTCTTTTAGCGAGAGACAATCCTAAGAACTAGTTCATAACTATAAAGTCTTATCGCTGCCTGCAGTGACCTGCAGGGAAGAATCCCAGGGGACAAATATCTACCCTCTACCTCCCATCTGCGGGTGTATCCCTTCGGCCAAACCCAACCAGAAACCAGTGAAGAGCAGCGCCTCTAGGCAGTTCACGTAGGTCAGCCTTTTAGGGTTTAGAGCAGAGTGCAGAGTGGATTTGGAGGGGCAAACAGTAGATACCCAGCAGATTCCTCCCTTTCCATTCCATTCTTCCTTCCTTTTCTCTTCTTTTTTCCTTTCTTCTCTCACATTTATTTATCAAGCATCTATTATGTGCAAGGCATTGGACTAGGAACAGAGAAGACATGGAAACAGAATGAGAAATTCTACTCTAGTTGTGAGATCCTAGAAATCTCTGTGTTTCCTCCTTATTATAAAACTATAAGCTCATGGTAGTTTTGAAAATGCAGAAATAGACAAAGAAGAAAGGAACATAATATGTTATCTAACTCAGAGTAACTATTAATGTAGTCCTCTAACTCACTAAGAACATTTTCTTGTATTTTTTTCCATGTATTTATGTTTACAGGCAGCACTCAGTTATGTTTTTGACTGTACTAGCATTGAATGTGGCAAAGTCAAACACAGTCTTAGGAGCAGGCAGTATAAACAGCGTGAAATATTGGTTTTCCAGATGTTTTAAGTAAGTCTGAATTCAGCAGATGAAAGAGTTTGAATGTTATTGTGTAATGTACAAATCCAATTAAGTCAAAAGTGCAAAAATTCAGAACCACTTGTTTATATATGTGTTATTTACTAAATTGAGAGCACTCTATTTGTACCTGACTTTTTTTTGTTAGCAGATTGAAGATTCAATCCAATGATTTACCTCTTTCAACACCTGAAAATCCTTTCTTATAAACAACTTAAATCGATTTATATTTTGTACAAGAAAGCAAATAAAGATTACTTTTTTTAATATTAAAAAAAGTGTGTTCTTTATTGAGATGCTTGAAAAGAGTGTACTCCACTGTGATACAAAGACTGGTCATAGGGACAGAGTTGCCTCATAAATCATACTAGCCTCATAAATCTAGGCTGTACCTGCATGCATGGTGGCCTCCTACATTTAATTTTTGTCTTAGAATTTTTTGTAGTCTTCTTTTACAATTAAGGTAGAGTTCCCTTTCCAATGTTTGCTTTTAGGATTCACGTAAACAAAGCGTCTGTTGAGGAGGATAAACATGACACGGCCTGCCAAGGATTCCGAAATCTGATTTAATGGGTGGCTTTAAGAGCTAACTGGCTAAGGGTAGTTATTGATATTTGTTAGGGTAAACGCCAAGATGCCATAGCACAGAGAAGGCAGAAAAATAGCAGCTTTAATAATATGGGAGTTTATTTCTCTCTCCTGTAATAATTCAGCCTGTCTAGGCTGATGGAGCGGCTCTTCTCAATAGGGTTAATCAAGAACTAAGTTCCCTCCATCTTATTCTTCCATCTCTTTAAACTTTGTCCTTTTCTGCATGATTGAAGCCGATCTCTCTCCTTTCCTTGATCCAATTGACAGAAAGGTGAGAAAAGCCAAAGTCCAGACAAACAGGCCTGATTTTAAGTCAGAAGTGACTTGAAAATTACATAAATCTTTCACTCACACCCCATTGGCTCCAACTTGGTCATATGGCCATATGTAGCTGCAAAGGAAATTGGGAAAGTCACTAGCAGAGTGGCTGTGTGTCCAGGAAGAAGGGGAGAAGCAGCAGTTTGCCACAATATCATAGAATATCAAGAATATCAGAAGCCCGGGGCAGCCCCGTGGCTTAGTGGTTAAGTGCACGTGCTCTGCTACTGGTGGCCCAGGTTCGGATCCTGGGCATGCACCAATGCACCACTTGTCCGGCCATGCTGAGGCCGTGTCCCACATACAGCAACTAGAAGGATGTGCAGCTATGACGTACAGCTATCTACTGGGGCTTTGGGAAAAAAAAAAAAAAAAAGGAGGATTGGCAGTAGAGGTTAGCTCACGGCTAGTCTTCCTCAGCAAAAAGAGGAGGATTAGCATGGATGTTGGCTCATGGCTGATCTTCCTCACAAGAAAAAAAAAAAGAATATCAGAGGCCCAGAAGAGGAAGAGAGTCACCAGAAAGCACCTCAAAACAAACATCAAATGTTCATTCCTACCACCTTAATCATAAGTTTTTGCTACTTATTATGGGATATAAATTATTTTAGTGGAAAGGAAGGGGTGGTAATTGCCTGAATTGAAGACAGGATTTTGAATGATGTTGCCATGCAGAGAGGATTTTATACTACGTACTCCTTTAAATAAAATAATGTTGTTAATTGTGATCTGGGTATTGGCTGCCCCCAAGCCTAAATTACACATGAGGGGCCATAAAGTTTTCTATTATTCTACAAACTAGACTATCTTCTCTAATCCAAGGTGTCAACATTCTTCACACCCTTTTGACAAGTTTCCTTAAATTCTAAAGCAGTGGTTTTATAATATGAGTGTGTATAAAAATCACCTGAGGTGGTTGTTAAAATTGCATATTGTTGGCTTTCCCTCCAGAGATTCTGATTCAGTAGGTCTGGGGTAGGAACAGCCTCTTAACAGGAACTCCCACTGAGGCAGAAGATCCTGAGGCCACATTCTGAAAAAGCTGGATACAGCCTCCGCTGCAAACACGTTTTCTGGTGCTTGGAGCAAGATATTTTCAATCTAGGCCAGGAATCCAGGCTGGGATAATTTCCCTTCATTATCACTCTCATTAAACTTATTATTCATCTCCTGGAAAATCGGGCACTAAAATGTTGTAACGTGATAATGAGGTAAAAACATTTAGCCATTTAAGATTGGGGCTGTTCTATAGGTTTCTGAATCTAACACTTCTTGTTTTGTCTGCAAGTCATCCCTGCTTAAATTGAAAAGATGTCCTTTTATTTTTCAAAATGTGCTTCATTGTCTTTGCTTCACCGCTGAGACTTGATTTTTTTTTCTCAAGCCTCAATCTTTTCTTCCTCTTGCCCAGTGTCACTGGTATATATAATGTCATTCTTTCACTAATGGGAGAATGACTTTGCTAGGGATTAATGCAGAATAATTTTTGGCTTGGGTCCTGATTTGACATTCTCATGTCTCTAGGCCTCACAGACTAGATAAATTTCTCTGGGATGTCAGAGGCAGAGAGAAAGGAGGATAGATCAAGGTGCTGAGACACTGTGCGTGTCCTCCAGAAGGGCTCTCTATCCCCAGTCCTTGGTAAATCCCCACCCCTGCCCCTAGGCCCCAGGATGAGCAATAAACCCCAAAGAGAGACCTGAATACTGCAGGCATTTAATATGTGTCCCACTTCCCATAATTGGATTGGGTGAAGGGATGAGGTAGGAGAGGAGGAAATACTGTTAATAAAAAAGTACATCCATTAATACTTCAAATATCATTCCATCACAACAGTAGCCTGGGTAGTGGGGACAGAGTGACAAGAGCAGTTTGAGGAAGGGCAGCACTCAAGGGACAGGCAGAGGATCAGTGAGGTACAAGGAGGAGGACTGGATGGAGAAGAGCCAAAAGGGGAGCTGTGGAAGCCCTAGGTGGGGTGTTTCAAAAAGACAGTAGAGGGGGCCGGCCTGGTGGCGCAAGCGGTTAAGATGCCGCGGCCCGGGGTTCGCCGGTTCGGATCCCGGG